CATGATGTGTGAGCCACTAAACAGTGGTGACAGATGACTGACAGCTCCAAACACCGAGCTACACCTGATTGGACATACGCCTGCCTGTGCTGTGTCCTCTGACATAGACTGAAACCAAGCTCCATAGAAAGCTTTCTTTTAACTTACCACCACAATTAGGATACAAAAATAGCACAATATGAGCTAAAAACAGTGCAGAGAAAGGTCTTTTTGAAACTGTCATTAAAAATAATCCATTTCATGACTTTCATTATTTTATTGCCATGTTTTTAATCTTAGGTTGACCTCTGACAGGCCTTACAGATATGTTATTTAATTAAAGAGATTTTCATAGAAAATCTGCAGCTTTAACTGAAGAAGTGTTGGAGTCAAGAGGGTGGGTGGGGATAGAGATCGCAATAGCCAAACTAACTCGACTTCTGGGGGACAATTGTGGTCGGGCATGTTATGTACTGCCTGTTTTGAGTACACCCTTAAGTTTCATGTCAGATTTTTCTCCCTGGTCATCCATGCCCCACTTGCAGCAACAGGCTAATCAGGGTCATTTAGGTGTCTTGAGCTCTCTGACAGACTCCAACTTGACACTGACAGTAGTCCCTTTAGTAGCTGGAAGGCCACTCTACCAGGAGGAGAACAAGTACTGAGCACAGTAAAGCTGCAAAGCAGAACAAGGACGTCTGCCAGCTGCAGCCTAAGTGGTGGAGTTGGAATCCATTCACTGGATTAAGGTCTGACTGTAGAGGCATCTATTTTTTGTATATATATGTGCATACATGTAGTTCTGCCTGTATGCAAACATGAAAGCAATGTGAGGTCAAACAGAGCACTGAGGGGAGATCAAACCCAACCTTGCACATGCCCAGTTTGGCAGCAATCTCGTCCACGGCTGCAGCTTTGGGATCATCCAACAGTTCCAGGCTGTTCTGGGTGGCATTCTGAAACACAGCATCGTTTTAAATGCAGTTAATGCTCAGTGAGGACTTTAACCTTATTGAGCAAATAAACTAAGACACAATTTCACTTGCAGAGCAGAATCGGGCGGTAATACGCTCAGTGAGAATGTCCCACCTGTGGGGGTTCGTAGATGGCGGCCACTTCCGCTCTGATGCCCAGGGGGATGTCTTTGTGCTCCGTGTATCTGCCGTACAAGTAGCCCATCCTCTGACTGCCCGTCTTCCTCCAGAAGTCCAAGAAGCGGTCAGCAATGGTGTGGTTCTCAAACATGATGTTGTCTACATGTCTGTATTTCTGGGGGGGGAAAGAAAAACTACATTCACATACACGGTGTGATACTCAGGACTGTTGTTTGGTTTTTTTAGACATGGATCAAGTTTCTTTGAAGATGTGGACGCAGCCGCTCAGGAGGAGTCTGCATGCTAAAATATACTTGGGGATTAAATTCCCAGTGTTGCTCAGCACTTTGTACTGAAGCGAACTGTAATGCACACCTGCCATTTAATGCGCCTGCACCAAACTTTGATCTAAATTATTAACAGGGACAGGAAACATTAAAAATGTGTGCAGCATTAAGCAAATAGGCACATTTTCAGTAAAACAGCTGCAGAGTAATCCAATCCATTCATTTTCTAAACCACTTCAGGGTTCTGGAGCTCATTCCATCTTTCATATGGTGAAATATGGAGTACTCCCAGGCAGTGTTGGTCGTTACTTGAAAAAAGTAATCAGTAACTAATTACTGATAATAAATAAATCCTTTAATTAGAGTCTGAATCAATAAATCACGGTTTTAGTAACGCAGCGTTCCTACGGGAAAGTAACGGTAATCTAATTACCGTTTTTGCAATAGTAATCCCTTACTTTACTCGTTACTTGAAAAAAGGAATCGGATTACAGTAACGCGTTACAAGTAAAGCGTTACTGCCCATCTCTGCTCCCAGGACAGGATGGTTCACTTCAAGTATTTTCGGTGTCATATTTGCTGATAAAAGAAGTAAACAAACATTTCTCCCACACTTGTTACCGTGACATACCTGTCTGTTCAGTGTGATGGCACTCGGCTGGCACTTGGTGCAGATGCCTTCCGGCCAGGGAGGGTGACCCTCGCAGCCCGACTTTATCTTACAGCTGATGTTCTCCAGAGCAGCAAACTTCCCCCTGCAGGAGATCAGAACAGTGTCAGAGTCTGACATTATGAGCAACCAAACTGGAAAATTAAAAACAGCTCCTCACTTATCGGCGCCGCCCGTCAGCTTGCGAAGGTATGCGTGGAATGACATGTGCTTCACTGGTGGGTCGAGGTGATTCAGGTAGTCTTCGTCAAAAGGCTGGAATCAGAAGAAACATGCTTTATAGCCCTAACATTCATCATTTAAGAAACAAAGCACAGGAATGAAATATCTCACCTCTAGCGGTACACAGTGTACACACTTCCCAAGGGCACCGTGGCGACATCTGGAACAAGAAAAGAATGATTAGGTATCCAACATCTGCACTGAGGTCAGATGTGTGCAGCTGGTCCTCTTCCTTACAGCTGCGGATCTCTGTTTCTGTAGATCTTGCCATCTTGCTTGGCCAGATACTGATCGATCTCGTCTTCCTGGACCTGGGGCGCTGAGAAGGACCGGGGGATCATGGAGGACGAAGAAGAGGACGAGACGGATGGTAGCGACGAAGATGTGTGAGGGGTGGCCGTGTCCATAACCTCCCCGGAGGAGGTGGAGGATTCTGAAGGGAACAAAAACAACATGTCCCCATGCCTACAAAACACGAGAGAGAAGAAGATGATGATTAAAGCTGTGGAGGTCGACGGAGACGACAGTATTTCTGGAAACCAACACTCCCCGGAGAGGCAAGAGTGAAATTCAGACTCTAATTAAAGGTTAAAGTCTGTTTGTTTCTACTTACTTGATCTTAAGAATGCTGAGGGTTTTGTTCTGGGATACGAGCTCTCCGGTTTTGTTGCGGTTCAGATAAACCGAAAACCCATTAGAGTTGAACCCAAATTCTTTGGCCACCTGTGGGAGAAGCAGATACCGGATTTTGACAAGAACATCGATACGACACACATTTCATATCGCCTGGAACAAAAACATTGGTAGCCATCAAGACACTTTAAATTCATCATTAAGCATAAATGTCAAAGCCTTGTGCTGCCGGGAGGGAATTCTTATCACATGTGCTGGTTCTTGTGTAAAGACAGTTTGCTCTTGAAAAGACACCTGCCTGGAGGAACACCTCTTTATGGTTGTGCCAAAACATTTTAAGAAAAGCACTCTGAGCGGATCGAACAGGAGGGTCTCCCTCGTAGCACTTTTACATCACATCATGTAACTGTAATACACTCAGCGGGATGCTGATCATTTCCCTGTGTGGGCCTTTTTTCCACAGACACGCATTTTCACATCTGATAAAGAGGCTTTAGACAGAATCAAAGGAAACTTCCACAAATCCAAATAGTTGACTCTAACCTGTACTGATGGTAAAAAAAACAAACCCAAAAACTTACATATTGGGTTGTGTGAAAAAAAAGTTATTTTTGGTATTCTGTGTCATTCTATAAACACTGTTTTACTTGAGACATGTTGCGCTGCATATTTTGCACCTTGTTACGTTTACTAGTTACAGACAGAGGAGAAAAATACTGACTTCAAATCTGATTAGTCTTTAATGGCTCTCTTACATGAAATATACTGAACTGATAACTGGATTTCACTAGAATTTTGCTAAACGCCAATATTTTATTTCCTCACTTTGAGGAAGAAAGTGGCATTGATCCGGTGCACTCCAGAACTCTACACCTGAAAAGTACTTCATTCAACAACCACCTAAAAGCCATTTTCTCAGGAGAAAGAATGCTCAGCAGAACTTTCCCTCATCTAACATCTAAACCAGTTGATAACGTCTTTAAAGTCCACACTAATAAAATTAGCAGAGAACAGAAGAGCAGTGAGAAGCATAGAGGTTGTCTGGGGATCACTTTTCTCATGACACACCAAAAGAACAGCGTAAGATCTCTTCACTATGGGAAAAGTACACAATCAGACACTGTTTTCAGCTCCTGTCTGGCTCATAGCTGCACTTCAGTGCGGAGTGAAAACTTTCCATTGAATTGCAAGTTACACAGTCCTGCCTTAACAAATGCATTTTTGATGAGGTGCTGCTGCAGTGCTCTGTCTGCGTTATATGCTTCTATTTTAGGCTTTTCATAGACAGTGATTAAAATGCAAATGTAATTATTTCCCATCCTCGTGTGTAAAATTGAAGCATAACAGAGAAAATTTCCCCAGAAACAGAGGGGCTCTTAAGTCCTTTGCTAAGTGAGACTTGTATAACTTGGGAGAAATACCATTTGTCAGCTTTACTATAAGTCTTACGGTGCCTTATTCTTACCTCACACTGTATTTTACCACGTTTGTTGTCAATTTGCTAAAACTTCCTATCTTTGCTTTGCAGATTCTCGTCACCTGAACACCTGATATTTTACAAATCGAGCAGATCACTTCATTTTTTTTATTGTCATTTCACCGGCTTCGGTCCTTTTTGGTAAAGAAGGTCTTTAGATTTAAATTTTTAACTTACAGTTCATGTTTGCAGGTCTTCAAATTCACATCTCTGAAGCCTGTTTGTGTCAGCCAAACTTCTTGAAACACCAAAGGGCGTTCACATTCCTGCAGAGTTGGACTGACATCAGATTAGGAGTTGTCCAAATCTGATGTGAGTCCAGCTCAGCAGTGATTCACCACTGGTGCAAATGTTGGGTTCAACATTACCAGACAGCTGTAAATGGATACAGGAATTTCCTGTATTTTATGCACTAGATTTGGGGAAGTGGATTAAATTATTAACAGGCCTTCAGTAAAATTCAAGTCCTATAAAAAAAATAGATTCTCTGCTTTTATCTGTGCCTTCTGTGATGTGAAGCAATGCCTGGACTCTAAAACATCAAACACAATCCACAAAAACGCACAGGAGCGGTGGAGGACCGACCTGCTCTGTTACTTCCTACACAGCTTCATGCATGTACAGGCACAAGAGGAGGAAAAAAAACAAAACAAAACAAAGCCCACACACAACACATAACACTCCTGTACTGATTGAAAGATAAAACATTTTCTAATCAGTTTTCTTTGTGGAAAAAATAAGAGGCCTCCACAGGTTTTCAGTGTACTGAGGAAATAACGTACAGAAGGCTTGGATCCAGTTCTGGTGTGGAGGAAAGCAGCGAGTGGGAAATTCTTTGCTTTTTTGCCAGCAGACGACCGATGTGACACAACAGATAAAAATCAGCTACTGATGTGGATAAATGCCATCTTACTTGCTGATAGGCCAATATCAGCTAATGACTATATTTGGTTCATATGTCAGTACATCCTTATGATTGACAGTATTAACATGACTAGCATATCATAGCCCTTTGGTTTAAAAAGACCTGTTTTGAAGGATCAAGAATAACATTCCTGCTGTTTTGGCCACAAGTAACTGCATGTGATGGGTCTAGGGCTACGTTCACTCTGCAGGTCTTGATGCTCAATTCCGATTTTTTGATCAAATCCGATTTTTTTGTCTGCTCGTTCACACTACAAATAAAATGCGACAGCAAACGCGCTCTAGTGTGAACGCTCAAAGCGGCCGCATGCGCAAAAAAGGACGTCACACACAACGCGCTCTGTTTAGACCCAGAGCAGCAGTATTGTTTGACTGATGGCCCTTAATATAAAGACTTTTGACTTCACGTTTCCCAATTTTTGCTTTAAGTTATTTTGTTATTTACATAATAATGTAGATAACCTAATAATGATCCTTATTGCTGTTTTAGAGGAGCGGTGCTTCAAAGGATAGTTGCAGATTTCTGTCAGAATCTGCAGATTATGCAGTACAAATAATGTTAACGAAAAAATGTTAACGTTTCTCCAACGTTGTCTTCCTAGCAGTTTCACCGGATGGCCAGGAAGTGTTCGCGATGTCTTATCAGGCGCTTCTCAAGTGCTGATAATTGGCGTGTCTTGTGTCAGTGTCGTAAATGACGGATTTAATGCGACTTGACCGTTCACACAGCAGTCGCTTTCTGAAACATCGGATATGTATCGGATTCAGTACCACATACGAAAGTGACCCAGATCGGATTTGAAAATATCGGATTTGTGCCGTTCACACTGTCATACCATGATCGGATAGATGGGTCGCAGAGGGTCAAAAAAATCGGATTTGATGCGCTTTCGCCTGCAGTGTGAACGTAGCCTAATAACCACTGAGAGAGCTGATAATCTCCCCTTTTGAAACATGGTGTCACCAAAAGGTCAAAACAAAAAGTTGTTTTTTTTCCCAGATTTCTTTTGGATCAAAGTCTTTTTGCAACTATACGGTGGCTTTCAGATAGCCTTTCATTCTTCCAGCCAGAAAACTGTGACCATTTAATTTTATGTCTATTATTATTGCTTAATTTTACAATGCATAGCAATTTAAAACAATGTGGCACCACTGTACCCTGAAGGCAGCAAACATGAGTAATCTTTGTGAACTGGAGATGAAGTGAGGGAGGGCGTGCAGATTAGGATGGTACTCTGAATTTTGTGACTGCATGAGGACACGGTGTTACTACTTCCAGGAAAATAAATAATAACGATGAGCTGACAAAGCCTTGAGGTGAAGGAGTGCTGGTGCCTGGCAGTTTATGGAAACACAAGCTACAGAAAATACCTGTTTCCCCTCCTTTACATCTGAAAAACCTGAGGACAACTGTTTTGAGCTCACTCTCCCTCATCTTCTCCCACGCCTTCGGAAACCCAAAGAGGTCATAAGCAGAACAGAATATGATGGCCCAGGCTTAGATGTTATTGTGTTTGTAACTGCTGGACAACTATTCACAGATCATTTTTCATTATCTTATGCAAACATCAAATAAAGCATACTATCTACAGTTGAATTAAAACTATAATGTGTTTAGAAGTCTTTAACTAAACTGTTTTCTTAGCTATTCAGTGGGTTTGTCAGCAGGGATCCTTATAAAAAGGCAGAATGGGGCTTAGGGAAGAAGACAGCAGCCATGACTAATTAAAATCCTGCATTGTTCAGAAGTCAGCCACCACCTTCATTTAAAGGCTGAACTGACCCCCTTATACTGGAGTGCCAGGCCAAACTGATAAATCCTGAGGCTGGAAACCAGCCCTTAGAGCACAAAAGAAAACAAGATGCTTGAGTGCTGTTATATTTAACACATTACCTTCTTTAAAAAAGCAGCAGCTGTCTCCCTCTTTGTAGAAGGAATTTTTTTCATCCCTTCTGGGGACTGCACCCTGATGATCTAAAGGAGGGACAGAAATAAACCCACAATTCAGCCGTTACAGTAAAAGCCCGAATCCATTGTAGCATTTCAAACACCTGTCAGTCAAAACCAGGACGCAGCAGCCCCCTTTCTGCCCCCCTCCGGTGTCAGTGTCGGGGTATTATGACAACCGTGACAGTGCAGAAAGAAAAGTGGGGTTATCGTTAGCTCATCAATCTCTGGTTTTTAGCTGCAACATGACGATGTTGACATTGAACTACTCTGGAAAGCTGTCAGTGTGTACTGGCTCATTCACAGACTAACTAAATATCACTTTTGTGGTGAATGTGCAACATCACAGCTCCCATCGTTACCGAGCTATTCGTGTTACTGTCATGCTAAAGAGCTGAAAGAATATGCCAGTCATTTTAAGCCGGCCGTTATTGTCGCTCTCTCGTTAGCCAACAATGACTCTTTTCATTCGGATGTCGTCAGCTAGCCTACTAGCTATCATATTAGCCGGCTAGCTAAACAGGCCCTGGTCACTCTTAGCTCATGTTAGCTGGCTAATGCTAGCCAAGCTAATTCTGCTGCCTCATCACTCAGGAGTCCGGCTAACAGGCTAGCTAACGTTAGCCGGAGCCCACCCGCCGCTGTACTTACAATATTATCGGCCATGCTGCTCGGGTAGGTGCGCCCGGTAGATTTGGCTTTGTTAGTGGACAGACAGGGTCAAAACAAATATCCCGTAACGCTGTTGTATGTGTGTGTGTGTGTGTGTGTCAGCGAAACTCCATCCCGCAACTCAAACACCGGGTGTTGCACACATTAGCGCCCCCATCGATCCCACAGCGGAGCGACCACGGTCGAAACAAAGAAACTGAGCTGGAGGGTTCCACTTTTATCATTCTTTCTTTTTCTCCCGTCAGTGACTGCCTCCCACCTGAGCCCCCCCGAGTCAGATCCTTTTTAGTATTAAATATGCTGAAAGGTGGGATACAAAATCTTCCTTTCACACTGAACATTTTCAGAGGCAGAGGCTCACTACAGCATGTTTGAGCCCTCCTTGTAAGTGCACAACATTATCTTAATTTTATTCTGCTTTCTGAATTCTTAACAATAACAATAACATTTTTCATTTAAAAAAATCACTATCATAAAATATGAGGCATTGTTTTAACACGTGGGATGGATAAAAGTACTGTCTGGTCTATGATTATGTAAAAAAGTAGCCCAAACCCTAAACTCTATAACACTATGGCATGAAAATATGGAATTTCTGGCTTTTAAAGCTTTTGTACAGTGTTTAAAGGGACAGGACAGTAATTAAGCATTTAAAGGAGATGTGATGGACTGAGTAGTCAGTAATCAGATAATTTATATTCTGCTTAGTTTTACCTTAAGAGACATGCACCCGCTTGCAGGAACGTTCACGCTATTGTGTGCGACAAAACAAAGAAACCGTTTGCTTGTGATGAATGTGGGAAACGTTATAAGTGAAACGCACACCTTAGGAGACACATGGTTGTCCACACGGGAGAAAAACCTTTTTCCTGTAGTGCCTGTCATAAAACATTTTCACGACAGGAAAATCTGAAGAAGCACATGAAAGTCCACATATAAGAAAAACTGCACAAAGTGTCTTTAACTGTGTGGTTTGTGTTGGTAAGCAACATGCAGGAAAACAAACAATCAGTTTTTCCTGATTTGGAGAAAGAAATGTGTTTTTGTAAAAGGTTTTTATAATGTTTAAAGAAGAAATGTGAGATATTTTTTCTACCTTCCTATTAAAAAATACCAGCTTTGTTTTGTCATATCTAAATAAGTTTGTATTAATTATTTAAATAGCTGTGCTTAAGGTGAGATCAGAAGTATCAGTAATGTGTTGATTTGTTGACACAGATTCCAATCGTGGGATCCAGAATCCAGACAAGTTTACAGATTTTATGTAATGTGTTTTTGTTTTTTTCTGGATTTTTCTAGATGATATTCTGTTTCTCTCCATTAAAATGAAAATTGCCATAAAACTTTTGCATGGAACAATCAGTGAGCTCATTACTGCTTCTGATGTTTGTTCTGATGTAGAGCAGTGGTCCAACTATGAATAATTATAGAAGGTGTAGTTTGGAAAATGTATTTGGAGTACAAATTTTATGATTACAACATTACAACTGCATGTATGAACTTAAAGCTGGGGTCACTTTCTTGAACTGTATATAAATAAAAAAATAAAATAAAATTTATATAGCACCTTTCTAGACAGAGTCACAAAGTACTGCACATAAGATATCAGATAATAAATGGTAAAACAAACAATATAAAACAGGCAAAAATTAATCAAAAGCAGTTTTAAAAAGGTGAGTTTTGAGTTGTTTTTTAAAACAACTACTGAGTCCACAGTTCTTAAGGTTTGGGAGAGACAGTTCCACAACCTAGGGGCCACAGTGGCAAAATCTTTATCACCCTTACTTCTCATCTTAGTCTTTTTTATAGCAAGTAAGCCCTGATCGGATGACCTCCGGGACATAGGGCTGTAGCAGATCAGAGATGTAGGCTGGTGCCAGTCCATGCAAGGCTCTAAATGTCAAGACCAGGATCTTAAAATGGACTCTAAATTCCACAGGAAGCCAGTGTACCTGAGATAGCAAGGGTGTCACATATGAATAGCTGCAGCGTTTTGCACAGCCTGCAGACAATCCATATATAAATAAAATGAAGCCATCCCGGCAAGAAAAGATTAATTTGGTGTAGTGTGAAGACCATGCACTGCATTTTTTCCTTTTCATATTTTTGTTACTTTATTTATTATTTTTTTGTTTTCAGTGGTTTAAAGCGGAGTTAAAAAAATGTCACTATTAACAGCGACATCTGGTGGATATCTGAAGGCACTACAACTTAAACGTTGACGCGGCTTACTGTTTCAATCTCAGGTCATCAATAAAAGTTCTGAAAGGACTGCGTGTCCGTTTTTAATTTCTAATTAATAAATACATCATTGTCATACACTGAAATTAATTTTTTGTTGTTAACTTCAGTTAACAAGTTGTTGAGTCTTCAGTGTCGTCTCTGAATTAAATAGCTGGTAATAAAATGGTAAAAAGACACGACATATGCAGACCCACACACCAACAATACTCCGCAAACACTTTCCAGTTTAAACTTATTTAACAGATTTAGAGAAGTTTCATTTAAAAACACACCTGCTGCAGCTTCACAGCTGATGATGGGGTCCCAAACGTCTTATTTTTTTCTTTTCTTAGTCTTGTCTGGTCATATAACAGTGTTAAAAAAAAGATTAAGTTTGATTTATCAGCTATTTCTGGGACTGTTTAATAAACAGTGTTTATTAACAGAAGCGTCAAACCGAAGAAAGTTGCAGCGAAGAGCTGATAACGTGAAACGTCACTGGTCACGTGACAGTGGTTTTTAAAGAACCTCGCTTCAGGTCAAGTTTCAGTATCAAAGGTGTCCGTGCGGATGCCTGTGCTAATTTATGAGAACGTGCGCTCTGTTTGTGTTCTGCTCTGATAACACAGTCACGTGGAGAAGAATGTAATCGGCATGTGTTTGTGCGGTGTTCGGTTCTGTCGAGGCCCAGCTTCTCCCAGACAAACCTGCAGTTTATTCTGGAGACGAGACAGAAGACAGCATGCAGGAGGTGGATTATTATCGGGAGCAGGGTGGAGAAAGTCTGGATTTAGAAGAAAAACCTGATATTAAAACCCTCGGAGTCCAGCCGGAGCAGGACGCTAATGTAAACCAAACCTCTGGTAAGAATAATCAGATTTCATTGCGGCAAACGATTACCCTCATCGGCGAAGTCAAATTTTCTTGCTCCTCTATTGTCGACATTACGGTGCTGCTAATGCAGAAACACAATGAAAGCAGTCATTTTTATATTATTTACAAAAGTAACTTTACTTTAGACCAGTACAGGTTTAGACACATAGAATACATTATAATTAATAATTTTACACATCATAATAAAATATCAAACATTTTAATGCCGTCTGAAGAAAAGGTCACACAAAATTAAGATAAGATAAGATAAGATAACCTCATCTCAGGTACAGATAGCAGAAGGAAAATACCAAAAATACAAATAAAATACGAACAAATGTAAAATAAGTAAGATAATACACTATATACAACGATAGCATACACAGTATGTGATTATGGATATGGTTGTGGAAATATGCAAGAGAAGTGGATTTGAAGTTGTCCACACATTTATCCACAGTTACTGCCATATAATACTGCTATATATTAAAAACAAAATTATTTTGTAAAAACAAAATAAAGGCACAGCCAGCAAATAATCAGTCTAATGAGTTTAAATTACCACATTGTTATATTATTTTTGAACTGTAATTTCAGAAAATCCTTAATATGTTTCTGTAATTTTTAATTTAATTACATTTTTAAAAATTGATTAATGTTCACATTTAGCACATGTCAGTCCATGGTAACTGTAAAATGTGATATTTCATGATATAATTTTCCACAATCATTATTTCAGTTCTTTGAGAGGTGACACAAAGATTCTACTGGATTCCTTCCCAGGTACACCCCAGTCTACATATGGTAAATGGCGTATCTGCAAACTCTACAGTGTTAGAAAACAAAACAAAATGCACTCAAATTACATTGTCATAGTGTATGCTATGGAAAAAGCATTTGCCCCCTTATTTTATTTTATTTTATTTTATTGTGTATTTGTCATATTTACACGTTTCAGATCAAAAACAAGGGAAAAAATATCCAAACCTACCTGGCCCTGTGTGAAAAGTGTAAAAAATCATGAATTAACTGATTAATCACATTTTTTGGAAAGCTGAGTTCAATTTCAGTGGCCACACTGAGGCCTGATTATTGCCTGTTAAATCAAGTTCCCTTACATCCAGCATAAAACTCAAGCTCAAGAGCACTTGAGCAGTGATCCAAAACACATCAGTACTGTACGTCCATCTCTGAATGGCTCAAAGAAGCAAAACAAAACGGAGCCTTTGCAGTGGTCAAAGTCCAGGCTCAAATCTGACTAAGATGCTTTTGCCAAAGGTTGCACAATTAGTTTAGGGGACAATTGTTTTTTCATATATAACAAATCAGGAATTCACACACTTAGTATAGAAAGTACAACAACGATATCGCTTTTTGATAGCCTAGCTTGAATTTCTATCATAGCGAGAACATTACTAACCCATTTACATGAAACATAACAGGAAGAACTACACAATCACAATAAGTTAGGGCTGCAAGAATCCAGCCTTTCCGAGACCACACAAACACCTTTTCTTTGGAAATTTGGTGATATTGAGTGCCAGTCTGATACCTATCCATCCATCTATTCTTGGGAACGCCAAGACATTCCAATGCGAGCCGAGAGATGTAATCTCTCCAGCGTGTCCTGGGCCTACTCCAGGGTCTCCACCTGAGAGAACATGTCGGGCACGCCTCACCTGACTTTGATAAATCATATTTTATTGTTTTTCATTCTGAGCATTCTGGACTGATCATTAAAGAGATGCTGTGCTACTTCTGTATTTCCTTCAACAACTGTGACATCAGGCCTATAAACACGTTTTTCTGTAGGACCACCGTAAATGCATTACAAGGCTCTTTTCTCCATATTTTAAAATATGTTAATATTTTTTATTTTGTCTTTTTTCTTTTTAGATAATGGGACAGCTCTGTGCTGATGTAGAATACATATAAACATCACACAATTTACCTACATGTTTCATTGTTTCCTGCAGATATCCCACAGCTGTTTGTTATAAAAAAAGAAGAAGTTTCACCTGAATGGATCCAAACTCTGGAGCAGCAGAACCCAAACCTCCACATAAAGGAAACTTGGAGCACTCAGGAGGAAAAGCCACCTAATGGGCTCCTCATCACTGGTGTTCCTGTGAAGAGTGAAGATGGTGATGATGATGATTTGAAACCTCAGTTGTCAGAGCAGCATCAAAGCCAAAGTTTTAAAAAAGAGGTTAAAGTTGAAGTTAAAAAAGAGGACGAGGACGAGCCTCCAATCAGCAGCTCAGCTAATCACATAAAAACAGAAACAGGTGGAGCACCAGAAACGACCACGAACTCAGATCCATGCAGAGATTCAGAGCCTAATACTGATAAACAAGCTTCAGCTGCTTTTGAGGCAGAAGTCAGTGTTGATGGCAACAACAGTGATGATGATGCTACTGATGATGATGATGAATGGGAGGAACCTTTGTCCAACTGTCGACCTAAAACTAAAGACAGAGACAGTAATCGGGAGTCGGATTCAAATCCTGCTAAAACATCCTTCAGCTGCTCCGAGTGCGGTAAAGACTTTCTCTCCAAGCAGTCTCTTCAGAGTCACGTGACAAGTCATTCAGGAAGAACACCTTCCAGCCATCTGCTTAATAAGAAATGCTCCAGGGTGAAGCAGAAAGCAGATTCAAAGACAAGCGTAGGCAAAGCAGAGAAACGCTACGTCTGCAATGACTGTGGACACAGATTCAGACATCGCTTTAATCTTAAAAGACACATGAGAGTTCACACAGGAGAGAAGCCTTTTAGTTGTGACATTTGTGGTAGAAGATTTAAACAACAGTGCAGTCTCAAAAGACACACCAGACGCCACAAAGGAGAGAAATCATTTAATTGCGATCTTTGTGATAAAAGATTTAATGTAAAGGATGATCTCAGGCAACACATGAAATGCCACACAGGAGAGAAACCGTTTGGCTGTCAGCTTTGTGGGAAAACCTACAGAGCTCAATGTGGGCTTAAGAGGCATATGATAGTCCACTCAGGAGAGAGACCGTTCCACTGTGATATTTGTGGTAAAACATTTAATGAAAAGAAGTCGCTTAGTAAACATGGAATAATTCACACAGGAGAGAAACCATTCGGTTGTGATGTTTGTGGTAAAAAATTTAGACATCAGTGTAACGTCAAAACACATATGAGAATCCACACAGGAGAGAAACCATTTGGTTGCAATAAGTGTGAACGGAAATTTAACCAAAGTGTACTTCTTAAGAAACACATGAAAGTTCACACCGAGGAGAGTTCTTTATGAGGGGCTGGTTAGCCAAAACTCCTGTTTGGAGGTGA